CACTTAACCGACTGGGCCTCCCAGGCACCCCGGATACATAATCTTTAGAAAGATAACTAACAAATACGAACTTCAGATGTGCAGTTTTTATTTGGTCATACTCAAAGCTCTTCTCAGGGGGCAAACGCACTTGTACTCTGATGTTACAAAGTTATTTTTTTTAAACAGTGTGACTGACAATGTAAAGTCAATGATATGTATCTTTTGACTAAGGAATGTAATAAAACATCAAGGAGAACTGCTGTCCCTGTACAATAAAGAAAATTTGCAAGTCATGCTCTTCATTGTTGCCTTTTACAGCAAAATGTGAAGTTCTGTGAGGAAGAAGCCTTGATTTGAATTCACAGTTGGTCAATTCTGATGCTGAGGATTCTGATGGCAGAACATCTTAGTGAAATGGCCTGGCATTGTGGAAGAGTTTCTGGCTGGGTGGAGAAGAGCTCCTTTAATTTAAATTTTGCTTTACATTTGCATGTTAATAAAATAATTTTGGAATTTTAGTCATTTGTTGGATATTTTCCTTCAAATAATCTTGTGTATGGAAGGACTTCATGAAAGGATGCAAACTTTCTCACTTTCTGTCTTCTTTTGTCAACTAAGGTAGGGCCATACCACCTTGGGCTGGACCACTCCAGGTAGTACTGGGCATTTATTTGGTTGATTTATTAAAATATGTAAGTTCTTATTAGAGCAAAGCAATACAAGTTCATTATTGGAAAAATAAAAAAAAATACAGACAAGCAAAAAGAAGAATATAAACAAAAATTCCCTTCTCTCCATCCCATCTATCCACTCTTGAACATTCCGTTGTATAATTTTCAAAATCTCTTTGAGTCTGCTTTCACACATGCAAGTGCACGTGCACACGTAGGTACACGTTCATAGGTACTTTTTGTATTTAAGATATATTTCAGTTCTGCAAAATTCTTTTTAAATGACAGCTGCATTAAGATATAATTCACATACCATAAGTTCACTTTTAAAGTGCACAATTCAGTGGTTTTATAGCATATTCACAAGGTTGTACATCCATCAGCACTATCCAGAACTTTTTTTTTTAAATGTTGTTGTTGCTGTTTTTAAGGTTTTATTTATTTATTTGAGAGAGAGAGAGAGCGAAAGAGAGCATAGGCAGATGGAGAGGGAGAGGCAGACTCCCTGCTGAGCAGGGAGCCCCACGCAGGGCTTGATCCGGGGACTCCAGGATCATGACCTGAGCCGAAGGCAGATGCTTAACCAGCTGAGCCACCCAGGCGCCCCTAATTCAGAACATTTTTATCATTACAAAAGGAAATCCCAGATCCCTTAGCAGTTACTCCCCATACAGTATGTAGCCTTTCGTGTCTGACTTCTTTCACCTAGTGTAATGTTTTCAAGGTTCACCTACATTATAGCATATATCGGAACTTCATTCATTTTTATGACAGGATGATATTCCATTGTATGGGTATACCACATTTGTTAATTCATTCATCAGTTGGTGAACATTGTGTTGTTTTCACTTTTTGGCTATTATAAACACTGCTGTGAACATTAATGCACAAGTTTTTGTGTGGATGTTTAGTTCTCTTGAGTAAATACTTAGGAATGGACTTGCTGGGTCACATGGTAACATTATGTTTAGATTTTTTTAAAAAAGATTTTATTTATTTATTTGACAGAGAGAGACACAGCCAGAAAGGGAACACAAGCAGGGGGAGTGGGAGAGGGAGAAGCAGGCTTCCAGCCGAGCAGGGAGCCCGATGCGGAGCTCAAGCCCAGGATTCTGGGATCATGACCTGAGCTGAAGGCAAAGGCTTAACAACTGAGCCACCCAGGCGCCCCATGTTTAAATTTTTGAGCAACTGCCCAACTGTTTTCTAAAGTGTCTGCACCATGTTACATCCCCTCAGCAATGTATGAGGGTTCCAATTTCTCCATATCTTCCCCAACACTTGTTATTATTTGTCTTTTTGATTACAGTCATCCTAGTGGGTGTGAAGTGGTACTTCATTGTGGTTTTGATTTGCATTTCTTTGATGACTAATGATGTTGAGCATCTTTCCATGTGCTTATTGGTCAATTTTTATATCTTCTTTGAAGAACTGTCTATTCAAAAAAATTTTTTCCGTTATCTAATTTTTTTTTTAATGACTTAGTAGAGTACTTTATTCTGGATATGACTCTCTTATCAGATATGTTATTTGCAAATATTTTCTTCCACCTTTGGGTTGTCTCTATACTTCTTTTGATGGTGTCCTTTGAAGTACAAAAGTTTTAAAATTTGATGAGGTTCAATTATTTTTTTCTTTTGTTGCATGTGCTTTTGATTTCATATCTAAGAAACCATTATCTAATCCACCACAAAGATTTACTCTTATGTTTTTGTCTAAGAGTTTTATAGTGTTAGCTCTTACATTTAGGTCTTTGATCCATTTTGCGTTAATTTTTGTATATGCTGTGAGGTAGGCATCCAACTTGATTCATTTGCATGTGGATAGCCAGCTGTCCTAGCACCATTCATTGAAAAGATTACTCTTTCCCCATTGAGTGGTCTTGGCACTATGAAAATGGTGAAAATTGAGTGACCGTAAATGTAAAGGTTTATTTCTGGACTCCCACTTCCATTCCATTGATCTATATGTTTATCCTCATGCTAGTACCACACTCTCTTGATTACTGTAGGTTTGTGTTAAGTTTTGAAATTGGGAAAGTGTGAGTCCTCCAATTTCTTTCATCTTTTTCGGGATTGTTTTGGCTATTCTGGATTCTTCACATTTCCACATGAATTTTAAGATCACCTTGTCAATGTGATCTGCAAAAATATTGCCTGGGATTTTGGTAAGAATTCTGTTGAACCTATAGACTGCTTTAGGGAATACCGCCATCTTAACAATATTGTCTCTCAATCCGTAAACATGGGATGTTTTTCCATTTCTTTAGATCTTCTTTAAATTCTTTCCAAGATTTTTTTAGTTTTCATTGTATAAGTCTTGCACTTCTTTTGTTAAATTTATTCTTAAGATGCTATTCTTTCTGATTCTATAGTAAATGGCATTGCTCTTAATTTAATTTTTGGATTGCTCATTGCTAGTGTTTAGAAATACAATTGATTCTTGTACATGTATTATTTTATATCCATTTTTTCTGTTAAAATATTGTGAACATCTTTCTATGTCAGAAAATATAGTTCTATAACGTCATTTTAGTGACCCTGTAATATTTCACTTTAATATTTTATTTAATAAAAATATTTAATAGAAATCCACGGTAATGTTTTATTTAACCAGCTCTTTACTATTAGACATTTAGGTTATTTTAAATAAAAAAAAACCCTAAAATAACTCTGATACATACTTGCCACTAAATTTTTGCAAACTTTCTTAATTATTTCCTGGATATAAATGTCCACAAGTGGAGTTGTTAGGGCAAAATATATGCACATTGAAGTCATTTGCTAAGTGCTGCAAACATTGCCCACCTGAAAAGTTAAACGTTTTTTTTGTTTTTTTGTTTTCAACCAAGGCTGTGATATTTGATTCCCTTAATTCTGTTTTATTTTATTTATTTATTTATTTTTAGAAAAGCTTTCCTAGTCCCATAGATGAAAGATGAGTCTCATTGGTGCTTTGCTTGCATTTCAATTCCCAGGAAGGTCAAAAAAATTTTCGTATGTTTATTCCCCCTGTTAACTATCTTAGGTTTCCTAGCCTTGAGTATTCCACTGTTTATAGTTTTGTGAAAGCAATTTGTATATTAAAGTTATTAATCCTATGTCCTTTCTGGGAAACATTCTCTCCTCACGTGTTTGCCATTTTTGTTTAGTTATGGTGCTTTTGGATATACAAAACTTTCAGTTTCTCTGTCAACTTATCAGTCCTTGTGGTTTCTCCTTCTGGTGTTATACTCACAAATTCCTTTCCCGCTCTTTTTATTTTTGAAGAACAAACAGAAGATTAAATAGGTACACTGCCTTCTTCCTAGCACATATCCCAGTATTTAATAAATATGCTGGGCACTTCTCACTCCTTTCAACTGTACCAACTTTTATGGCTATCTCAATCTTTGCTCAAGCAATGTTCTCACACCCTCCCTCTTTTCCCCTTCTCCTTCCTCGACAGCTCCAGCCCTACTTGTCAGAGGCACTCCGGTCAGTCCTGGCCGGCCGCAGGGACACTCTCCCTGAATTGCTTAAAGCCCCTTAACAGGGCTCGGTTTTGGGGAGACATCCTGCAAAGAAGGCCAGATCTCGGCCCCGGGATGCGCGTATCCTCTGCTCAGACGCCAGCGCGACAGCTCCAGTTAATTCGCTCAATATCTCTCAGTTTATCTGTAAAATTTAGCAGATCGGGCATCTAAAGACTTTCCTCCAAGATGTCTTCGCAGCTTGGCAAACTACAACCTGCGCTACTGGTTGTCTTTTACATGTGCACGTTCCGCCACTCCCCATTCCGCGTGAGCTCCTTCGACCCCTGACTCCGAATGTGGTTGTAGTGCCACAGATATTACTGGCGCACAGCGTTGGAGAAATTGACAGGACCTGTCTTTTGACAATTGAGACGTCCGGGAAACCACAATGCCTTTGATGTAAGCTCTGCAGGCAGTGCCAATTTGCTCTGACGTCTCTCTCACCCAAGCCTTCCCCCTTGTCCGAGGTCCAGAGCCGGCTTTCATGACTCGTCTGAGACCGTGAGTAGCTGGAGAGGAGAACTCTGATTTCTGAGCGGGGCGTGGGAAGGTGGGGCGGTCCCGGCCCCCGCCTCAGCCGCCAGGGTGAGAGCCCGGGAACGCCTTTCGCTCTCCCCGCCCGCGAAGTTTGCAGGGCGCAGAGCGCTGCGGAGAACTGGCCTGCCGGCCCGAGGCTGAACGCTGTCAGTTCCTGCTCCAGCCGCGGCAGGTTCCACACCAGGGAAGCCGCCTGCACGCCGCGGGCTCCCGGCGCGTGGGGCGGGGGCGCGCATCGGCCGCCGCCCACGCCCGGAGCTGAGCTCGCTCCTCCCGGGAGGATCGTGCGCTGCAGGATGGCGGCGGCCGCGCGGGCTCCAGGCTGGACATCCAGGCTAGTCCTGCTGCTCCTGCTGCTGCTGCCGCCGCCCGCCGTGAGCCCCGTTCGGGAGCCCCGCGCCGCGGCCCGGCTCAGCCTGCACCCGCCCTACTTCAACCTGGCCGAGGCGGCGAGGATTTGGGCCACCGCCACCTGCGGAGAGCGGGAACCGGGCGGCGCGCGGCCCCGGCCCCGGCCCGAGCTCTACTGCAAGTTGGTGGGGGGCCCCACCGCCCCGGGCAGCGGCCACACCATCCAGGTACGGTCCTGGGAGCGAGCGAAGGGGGCGGGGGGCGAGGGGCGGGCTCCCTTCCCGCGCTGGCCAGCAACCCGGAGCAGAACGAGGGGGCCCTTTCCCCGCGCGCGCTAGGGATCCCAGGCGACCGGGAAGGGCTCCCCAAGGCCCCGCGCGGGCCGGCGACCCTGGGAGGTGGGCTCGGTGCCCCGGGGCGATCCTGCGGGAGCTCCGCCCTTGCCAATTCGCCGCCCTAGGCCGGGATCAGTAGAGCGCGCGAGCTAAGAGAAGGCTGAGGTTAAGTTTGCGGGCGCAGCAGAGAAAGTCCCAACATGCGCTCCGGGGTGTATGGAACCGTCGCCCCATCCTGCCTCCGTCACTCAGGTAGCGCCCGACCAGGTCATGAGTGCCCCCCCGCCCCCCGCCACCAGCTTCACTGGCGCGCCTCCTTCCAGACCCTTCTGTCTCCCCGACCTTATTCGGAGGAGTTGGTAGCAGTGGGTTTCCGTGGCGTGTTTGGAGAGAACTTTCAGGTTTTATCTGCAGCATCACTCCGATGGTGCCCCTCACCGCACTGCCCGAAGCCCCACCGCTCAGGGTCACTGGGGCGAATGAGACTTGAAATGGGCAGAGATGGACACGGCGCTCAGGGGCCATCAGACTCATCCCGCGAACACCGGGTGTAAATGATAGTGTTGCTGGTGCTTAATCAGCATCTGGAGGTGTGCCAGGTCTTTACACACGGCCCCTCACAACAGCGCTGGGAACCGGAGCGGGTGAGCAGGTTAAGAAGCGTGCCTGAGTCTTACTTAACGTAGGGCAGCGGGATTTGAACCTAGTCGTGACTGGAAATCCTCTTTACACTGAGCCGTGATTCATAATTGCCTCCCTCGTTCTACTGGGAACTATTGCTGAGGAATGGGAAAGTGCTGCCGGAAGAGGGAGTAATTTTGGAGCTTGGGCTCCAAAAGCAAAAGATTGTCATTGAGAATCTAGGTCATGGTTTTAGAAACTCTTGGTTGTGCACTTCCATAAACGACAAATTGTTGAACATGCAATGCCAGTAAGTGCTTATTTACTTATAAATTATATGCATGTATTGCTTTATTAATATATTGTGTGTACTAGAAGACAAGAATAGAAATAAAAAGATAAAATAACAATGATGAAAATACTTTTTAATTTTCTTTATTAACAGTGCCAAATAATTTTGCCTTCTCTAAATATTTAATTTCTGATTGTGTTTAACTATTTATAAATATACAAATGTAATTATATCATTATTTTTGACAAGTTTAGCACTTACGATCTGGCAATTCAAGGTTGGTTTTACATTAATAATTGAAATTAGTAGTTGTCATAGCTGAAAAGATACCTCAAAAATCTGTAGATTCGAGGAGGACCACTGCATTGATCCGTGAGCTCCAGAACCAGCTACATAATTCACAGAGCCCAGTGCAAAAGGAAAATCTGAGCCCCTTGTTCAAAGATTATGAATTTCAAGATGGTGATAGCAGAGCGTCAAATTAAGTGAGGGGACTTTCAGAGCATGGGATTCTGTGTAACTTCACAGGTCTGATACTGTCTGAATTCACTAAGTCATGGTACTCATATTTCTGCCCTATCCTTCAATCATTCTAAAAATTTTTTAAAGTAGACACTTGACCAGTCAATGTTTGCTTTTCAGGTGGCATTCAGTACTTCCTGGTGGGAAGGTATTGTGTTTTAATGGTTTAAAAAAATAGATTCAAAACTCACTGCAAGTAGTTTTCTGGAAAATATTAAAATACATTACAAAATTATGTGTCCAGGTTTTTAAACTGTGCAGATAGGAGAACTTTTAGAGTAACCCAGTTCTGTCTTTTCAGCAACAAAAAGGTGAAACATTTCCAAACATCTGTTTTCCAAAACGCTCTTTTCAAAAGCGTACATTTCTTTAGAATAGTATTTGCTTTTTCACACATTGTTGAAACAACACCTTTACTTTGGTAGGTACCTTTATTTTTTGGCAAATATTTATCAGGTGGTGTATTACTGGCAGCTACTTGTCATCCCAGAAAAAAGCAAATTTGGAATTTTTTGTGAAAAAAATTGTGACTCATCTTTAAATTTCAAAGTCTTTTAAGTACTTTACCATGAGATAAGCAGTAGATCTGTGTCATCAAAAGAATTTCTTTGTCACTCCTCATTTTAGTACAAGATTGGAACTGTTCTGCTGTCTAGGGGAATAGAATCCCCATGTCCACTTAACCAGGCCCACGTAAGCTTCGCTGTGTCATGGTCAGATGAGAGCCTGATGGAACCACTCCTCCTCTTCCCTTGGGCAGACAGACACTCAGGACCATTGTGACCAGCTGACTTGTGGATGGGGTAAAGGCCCTAAGTAGTCTGCACATTAAATACTAGTCAAACTGAATTTCTTCATTTTTAAGTAAAATAAACGCGTTTTGATAGTCCCTTCCGGCACTGCATTGGATTGCCTGGCACATCCAACTTTGGAGAGAGCTATTCTGACTATGGGAAGAGTAAATGCAAGGGGAAGAAATTTTCAACTGTCTCCTCTCCCCTAGATTTGCTTAGGAATGGGCCAAACTTCATTCTCTGCAACTTGCATTTTCTTTTGAGTGCTCATAGGTTGGTGCTACCATCTTGGAGGTGCAGAAAAGTCATATTTTCTGTTCTGATTGAATTTCCAGGATAGGTCCTCAAACCTTGGTTCACAGTCCTAGATAGAGTAGGAAGTGGCTTTTCTGAGGTCATTCAGCAGACTGTATTTCTAGGCCAAGCTATAGCCTGTGGAAAAAGGATGCCATCTGGTGTTATACCTTATTCTTCCCTAAAAATAAAGGGTGAACAAGAGCTCTGCTAAATAGTGCTTTCTGCTTTCACAGCTGAGGGCTTGAAAAGATGTACTGATTGCTCATGTGAGAGACTCTTGCCTCATGAGGACAGAAGTGTGTTGGAGATGAGACAGGGAAAGGGAGTTCTAGAAGCTGGGCTATTAGATGCTCGCTCTAGCCCAGTGTTGGCAGCCACTGGTGCAGACCCACCTTTCAGGAAACTGAGGGGTGATAGGAGAAGGGTGGGAGGTTATGATTGATCAGTTCGTTATACCCGAATGATGATTATCTTGAATCTGTTTATGCTCAAGTTGGGAAATGGAGAGGAGTTAACTAAAACAGTTCTGTTTCTTTGAGCTTTCTAAAAATAAATCTTTAGGGCCAGCCGGGATTCAGAATTTCAGGCCGGAAGGATTTTGCAAAACGATGTAAAAAAAAACGAATAAAAATCACATCTTAGAATAAAGCCTGGGTTTATGGTCCTGACTCTATAATAATAATAATGCTGATTCTTGAATGGTAGCATGTGTCAATAGGTAGGGCATTTTAGAAGTCTGAATTTTGTTTATTGTGTGAAAAATGTTCACTGTGGTTTCTCTGGATTTAAAATTCTTTAAATAAGATTTTATATACTTGTTACTGCAAGTTTTTGGTGTTTGAGAGTTCTTTGATTCAGGGATTTTGTCTGTCTGGTTCATAGCTGTATCCTGTGCTTAGCACAAAGCCTGGAACAGTATATGTGCTTAGAAAATACTGAAGGAAAAGACAGTGTAATGAAGACACAGCTAAGGACTGTAAAGAAGTTAATGTAAAGAATAGACAAGAAAAATGCATAACTTAATTCTGTTCTGCTAAGAAGTTAAGTATGACTGAAATCTGTCACACTTTATGCTTCAATTTTAAATGTTTCCTTATCTATGGAATCATAGGTATGATTATTATTTACTGACATCTGATAAAGATGATGGTAAAATGTAAGTGGAAGGCTGTATTGAAAATATAACCTTGTGTTTGGTTTAGCTTGGCAGAAACACTACACTCACAAGGAGTGACGTGAACATATTTACCAAACATACGGTGTCGATTTTGTTCAACACATCTTTCGTTATGTTCCTTCTTTACATTATAATTTATGCACAGGAATGTGTATCTAGGCTGAATGAAAGTGGTAGAGAAGTGCACACATGTGAATTACAGCCAAGAGCAGGAATGCTTGCCACAAAGCAGTCTAGGTTGTGTGTTTGTGTAACTTGGACTAATAGCCATAAACAGGAAACTCAATTTCACTAAGGCTGTTTATAGAACATTGTGAAAGAGAAACCATTTGTTAGCTTCAACAAGGGCCTTTTCCTTTGTGAAACTGATAGGAAAGTCTTGAGCAAGGGCTGAGAAATCAAAGACATTTACTATTCCATTGATATATTTGTAACAGTTCTTAGTGGTAAGAATTATTTTGAGACTTCAGACAAATGACTACAGTCAGCAGTTTAAAGATGAATGATTCTTTTTAAAAATGATTTTCCTAATAGTTCCGTGTGAATATTAGCCAAAGTTTAGCAAAGAAAGTTTATCTGCAAATCATTCAAAGAAGACAGACATAAATGTTTTCCTTTGGAGGGCCATGTTCACTCACCAGCAAAGGAACATGGTTCCACACACCAGAATGTCAGCAATTTAAATTTTTGCTTCAACAAATCACAGATTATGGGAACTCATGGATCTTCAGGGTTGTGGAAGGTGAATAGTTGGAAATGGGGATGTTCAGTCTTTGAATTGCAGGATTTTACTTCATGCTCTGAATTACCTGTGCCATTGAGAACATGGATCATTTAATGTGAGAAAAAGAAGTAAATAGGCATAGGGAAAGAGAAAGACAAAAGGTTATTAATTTCAGCCCCTCACTTATGAGAAAACTATACTTACTTAGCCCATTACAGAAAGTTAGCTGTGTGCATTTTACATCTTTAATGCATATATGAATGTGAAAACTACACATTTTCTTCATGTTTTTTTTTTACCAAAACTAGATTGAAGTATGAGTCATTTTTAACAGTTTTATTGAGGCATAATTTAAATACTATAACATGCATCCATTGTAGGTGTGAATTAAATATTTTAAAATAAACGTATAGAGTTGTGCAACTACCACTAGAATCCAATTTTAGAACATTTCCATCAGCTCCA